GGTGGGGGGGGGTGGGAGGGGGGGGGGGGGGGGGGGGGGTTCCATGCTTCAGTCTGAACTGATCTAAGCTTCTACTACAAATACACTTAGTCAGACTGACACTAATCCGCTTGAAAGAATTAATTCTTACCAAACAAAAGCACAACTCTAATCCCCAACTTCACAGCACCACCAAAACTAAAGGTCACTGAAAGTACTGCATTAATCGGGCTCATCAGGTAGCTACCTATTTAGGGACTGTTCACACAAAACACTTTTTTTGCATTCTACTGTGCTGCTTTTTCATAGTTTTTCTATGTAAACATGCACTAGACAGACACGTGTGACTGCTGCACTAAAAGTTTTGCAGCATCTAATAAACATTAATCAAATAAGGCATTCAAAAAATGTGTCTCTATGCCTAGTGGGTTTTTTTTTTTTACCTCTGCACTTTGTCTCTCATTTTTAAATGCAAAAACACATTCTCTATGAATGGCCCCCTTAGGGGTATAGTACACCTCAAAATTAGAATTCTGTCAATTTACTCCCCCTCATGTCATTTATTTCTTCTGTGGAACACAAAAGATATTTTGAAGAATGTTGGTAACCAAACAGTTTTGAGTCCCATAGTCTTCCATTGTATGGACCAAAAATACTGTTTGGTTCTTTGTTATGTAAAACACAAAAGAAGATATTTTGAAGAATGTTGGTAACCAAACAGTTTTGAGTCCCATTGACTTCCATAGTATGGACTAAAAATACAGTTTGGTTCTTTGTTATGTGAAACTCAAAGGATATTTTGAAGAATGTTGGTAACCAAACAGTTTTGAGTCCCATTGACTTCCATTGTATAGACCAAAATTACTGTTTGGTTCTTTGTTACGTAAAACACAAAATAAGATATTTTGAAGAATGTTGGTAACCAAACAGTTTTGAGTCCCATTGACTTCCATTGTATAGACCAAAATTACTGTTTGGTTCTTTGTTACGTAAAACACAAAATAAGATATTTTGAAGAATGTTGGTAACCAAACAGTTTCGAGTCCCATTGAATTCCATAGTATGGACCAAAAATACTATACTATGGAAGTCAATGGAACCCAAAACCGTTTGTTTACCAACATTCTTCAAAATACCTTCTTTTGTGTTCAGTAGAAGAAAGAGATCCACACAGAATTGGAAAGACATGAGGGTGAGTGAATGACAGAATTTTAAATTTTGGGTGGACATGTTATACAGAGCCCTAATTCTTACCTTGGGTTCTTATTGTTCAAACTTAGGGCGATCTCGTTGACTGCATGCGCGTGAGACATGACGAGGTTGAAGCCATACTAGGGTGAGAAAGGAAAAGGCAATGTGGTATAAGTATAAAAAAACATATACCACAGTGCAATGGTGATTCCATAGAGATATTGTGCTGCTGTTTGTAAACTGGACAGACACTAAAACATCCTGGAGAGTAACGGGTTACTTGTCATGTTCGATGACACTTAATAATTCTACTGAGAGAATTGTTTTTATTTGCTGCTTCCTTTCT